TCCATTTTGTTTGTTTTTCTTTTTAGTATGGATGGAGGTGAATTGTTTAGTCATATCCAGGACAGAGGGAATCATGCATTTACAGAAAGAGGTAAAGGGATTATTATATTTCAATCAAAGTAAAGTTACAATCCTTAAGATTTAAATCCTGGTTGATTTTATTTATACTTGTGATTACTGTTGGTAAGCACAAGTATACATCTGAATGTATGATTTACTCGGCAGCTTTTTGTTTGACCTCTATTGTGTCTATTTTTTTTTCTCAACACTTTCTTTTTACTCAGAGGCCTCTGACATCATGAAGAGTATAGGAGAAGCCATACATTTCCTGCATTTCATCAACATTGCTCACAGAGACATCAAGGTAATTTCTCCCTGTATATTTGAGACACAACTTCCAACAGTGGATTGCTTTTAGGGAACATTTAGCAGTTAAAGTGGTTCATTTTAACTTAATTTGTATTCATTTGTTTCCCTGTGGTTGATGACAAGTGATGTGAAGTATATTATCCAGCAGTTGATTGCTGTTGCTGTCTCTTTCAGCCAGAGAACCTGCTGTACACCTCCAAAAGGCCAGACGCCTTCCTCAAGCTGACAGATTTTGGGTTTGCCAAAGAAATCACCACCTTAAACTCTCTGGCAACACCATGTTTTACACCCTACTATGTTGGTGAGACATCACATTGGACATTGGGAAGATACACTAGACATTTGTAGCATGCGGAGAAAACTGAAAGTTATAGCTGGGAATTTCTTTTTTTTAATGATCAATGTTCATTGAATGGTGCGAGTTCCTAATAAACTAGACCTCCTGATGTCTGTGATAGCCCTAAATCAACACGAAGAACTGTGTTGGCAAAATCATCGCATTTTTGTGGAACAGCTTGGCATGTCTTGGACATACTTCTTAAAGGTGGGGTAGGTAATTTTGGAGAAACCAGCTCGAGTGCGCTAGAATTTGAAAATACATAGCCGGAAAAAATCTGCCACTTCCTTACAGAGCCCCTCCCCCAACACACACGAACGCGCACATGGCCAATGAGGGCACGAGATAAGTTTGTGCACAGATGGAAGGCTGACAGGCAGGTAGGCCATCCAGTTATTTTAGCCAGGCCGGCTAAAATGACTGGTCGTGCTTTTTACAGTACTACGGCTTCCACAGATGACATTTTTTTATGGATTTTTTGTCAAAGCATTTAAGATATTCATTGCTATCAGGATGTTAAGAGCATTCCATGGAATATAACAAAAAGTGTATCTCGAGCCGGTTTCTCAAACTTACCTACCCCACCTTTAAACTACAATGTAAAATATTTCTTGTTTCATGTCAATTCTTTACTCAATAACCAGACTTCGAATAATAAGATTTTTGCCCCTTTTAAAAAAAATTAAAAAAAGGTAGCCTACCAGTTATTATTTTTAAATCCAGAAGTTTGGAAAATATGATACACACTTGAATATAATCTGCATTTACATTTGTTTGGGTAAACACAACAGCATTTTGCATTTTTTCAAATGTCCAGTAGTTTCCTTGAGGGGATTTAGCTGTTTGAATAGTGTAGAATCTAGCTTTGATGGAAAATCCTTTATACACCACTTTAAGAACCTGTTTTTTTTTGCAGTCATCTGTTTTGTATTAACAGATTAATGTTAACAAAAGTGATTCCCTCAATTTGAATAATTTCTCTTCACACTGTGGCAGCTCCAGAGGTTCTGGGTCCAGAGAAATATGACAGATCCTGTGACATGTGGTCTCTGGGTGTCATTATGTATATTCTGTAAGTCTATCTGTGTGATGTGTCTTTAGCGGTTTTACTTTCTTGCAATGACATATTGTTCTCTTTGAAGCTTGTCTAAGTTCTTGTTTTTTTTGTATTATATATCCCATGTTCTTGTTAACATACTGTATCATTTATAGAGTTAAATCTCATTTCATTTCATTTCCATCTTTATTTCGAACAGATTTAAAAAAACAAATAACAAATAATAAATCTAAACCTGCTTTATGGAAAAAGACCTGGCATAACTTCTGCTATGATTTTGTTCTATATGAACAACATTTAATTGAATCTATCATCATGCTTTTTTTCTGTTTTACACACAGACTTTGTGGTTACCCTCCCTTCTTCTCACATCACGGTTTGGCAATATCCCCAGGAATGAAAAGACGGATCCGTACTGGAAAATACGATTTCCCCAAACCAGAATGGAGCGATGTGTCTGATGAAGGTGAGGGCTTGTTGGAAATTGAAAAGTTGGTTTTATCTGACTACACATTTCTATTTGCTAGATTACTCCTTTCCTTTATGAATCCTCATCGACTTGAAATAAGTGTTTCTCCTGGGAGGACATACCAGATTTATTTCCTCAAATTGTTCTGGATTTCTATGAACTGTTTGCTGCAGAGTCATTGTTTTTTTTTATATAACTTTCATGTAAATGTCATTAGAATTTAATATAAGACATTTGGAAAAACAGTACCACATTATTGCAGTTATTGTATGATTGCCAAAAATATTATACAATTTGATGATGATTTTATGTTTCAGCCAAACAGCTAATTTGCCACTTACTGAAAACTGAGCCAACCCAGAGAATGAACATCACAGAGTTCATAAATCATCCCTGGATTAATGTGAGCAGCTCACTAAGGGCTTGACACTTTTTGAGCAACAACTGCTTTTTAGAGATGTTTGTAACCTTTGGTGGACACTAATCCATATTCTCTCACTAATACAGCAGTCAGTGGAGGTCCCACTAACACCTCTCCACACCAGCCGCGTGCTGCATGAGGAGCAAGATGTCTGGGAGAAGGTTAAGGTAAGTGTTTGTGTGCTTCATGTGAGAAGTTATGCTTCTTTAGACAAACAGAAAATGCTGTTGATTCTTTGTTTGTTTTTGAAAATCACGAGGTGTTTCATGTTGATTGTGTTTCATAAAGTTATAATTTTATTGTTATTATTAGGAGGAAATGACAAATGCCCTGCAGACGATGAGAGTGGACTATGATCAAATAAAAATCAAAACCATTGAAGACTCGACTAATCCTCTACTCTTGAAGAGAAGAAAGAAAAGTAAAAAACCACCCACACAACCTCCAGGCTAGTGACACACACACACACACACACACACACACACACACACACACACACACACACACACACACACACACACACACACACACACACACACACACACTCAACCATTTAAAGAATTCACGAGCAGAACATAGACAAATATGTTTTAAGTAGCATGTTTTAAAGCATTACATTACTGTAAAATCAATCATGACAAGAAAATAGTCAAATGTTTTACCTTATGGTAAAGCGCACAACAGCAGGACACCTCAGAGATGATTGCTTAGTGCATGCTGTCATATTATTGTGGCTATGTTGGATTTTCTGGCTGAAGTTGGATAAATTCATGAATGACGCCCAGACAGAGTGTATTGCATCAAACATGTTGCTTTAATTACAAGACAATATTTATTTAATCGTTTTTTGCATCCTGTTTTAATTCAGACTGTCGTTGTGGCACATTCGGAGAATTACAATGTGGATTGCAGAGGGATAAATGAGAAATCCAGCATCAGATTTCAAAGGAACAATTGTTTTTCCTGGAAACTTTTTGTTTCCCCTAACAAATACTGGTAATTTTGATATATTTGTGAGGAAGAACTTTCATTTATACTTACAAGGCCTTGCCTTGCCTAATCCTAGCACAGTTCAGAACACATGCAACACTTCTTTAATAGAGGTTCATGTAATAGATTGGGAGGATTTAAATATTTGTATGTTCTCATTAAACATGATGAGTTGGTTGTCGGACAAATAATGTGATTTAACTAAAAACCTGTTAAGTATTTTATATAAAGGGTTCCCATGTGTATCCTGAGGTCCCCTTTCCTCTCATAAAATGTTTTTGTGATTGAAGTCTTTACATGCTGAACAACTTTTATTCAAACAAACCCTTCGTCTTGAACTTCTTCAGAAAAACCTGGAAGGCACATTGGGTAAGAGAAACGTAATCCTTGCATCTCTGCCTCCAATTTTTCTGCTCCTATGGAAGGGATGAATGGCGAGGCCCATTCATACATGACAATCTGGTAATGGGAAACCTACCTGCAGGCGCCAGCACAAACACATGTTAACTTTCTCCAGAGTTTGAACACTGTAATTGATGAAATGGGTGAGTACCTGAAACAGTCAGAAGAAAGAGACCGAAAAATGAAAAACATGTTTAAGGAGAATTATTGTGGACAAATAACAGGGTTTGTCAAACTTGTTTTCATGTTGAAACATACAGTGAATTATTGACAAAGGCCTTCTACAATGTAAGGATTGGATTATAAACTTTAACAAAGCTCTATTGTTTCATTTAAGTTGAAACACACCATTAATTACAGCGTCTAGACCCTTGTTTCTAAAGAAATCTATAGCATAACCCCCCACTCTCTCCATAACCTTTATACGAGTACACTTCACAGCAAGCCAGCTTTCAAGTGGTAGTGCTAATGATAAGGCATGACTTACTAAAGGTAAACAAGGCTGTAAAAAAGCAGATGTTTGCTCCACTTCCCAGATGGGATTAATATTGACATGGCTGGAGGTGATATATTATGGTATAGGCTTTACATGCAAGCTGAAAAATGTATGGCTCTAATGAGAGTGTGTGGCTGGGGCTGCAGCTATACGTTGAAAGGGGATGTAGTTAGTCTTTTCTGAGGAAAACACAGACGCGCAAGCAAGAAAGGAGACATCCTCTCTGATCAACCAAGCGGTAAGTGTACTGAACTTATATATATATAGACATTTTTATTCATTACTTACATTTAAAGATTAGAGCCAAGAGCAGTGGATCTTAAATGGTTGAACAAGCATAATTCAGTAATAGCTACAAAACATCTCCTATTATCAGTGTTTTTGGGATTAAGAAATATCCTAAAGTTGACTTTATATCAATTTTAAATATTTTTCTTTCTTGGTTTTCTTACAGTGATCATGCAGACATTGGTGCTTCTCCTTATTCTAGGAATAGTGGATCAAAGCATCAGCCAGAATTACAGCCAGTTCAAGTGGCTGTCCTATCTGCGAGGGCGCTGGAGGCATGCCGCCTGGCAGGCCGTGGATGTCGACTGCCCACTGGAATGCGACTGCCCCTCAACCTTCCCCACAGCTATGTTCTGTCAAAACCGCAACCTCCAGCATGTTCCATACGTCCCCTCATACATTAAGTATGTCTACCTGCACCGGAACAAGATCACAGGCATCAAAGACGGGGTTTTTGACAATGCTACCAGCTTGATCTGGGTCGTGCTGTTTCAAAACCAGCTAGACTCAGACAAAATCGGCAAGAACGTCTTCAGCAAGCTCAAGCAACTGGACCGGCTCCTCTTGGATCACAATGAGCTCACACGTATGCCTCCTAACTTGCCAAACTCCATCACAGACCTGCGACTTGGTCACAACAAGATCTCAAAGATCCCCTCCAACTCATTTGAGGGGATGGCTAACCTCACCACCCTTGAGCTCCAAGCAAATGTCATTGAGGATGTTGGAGGTATGTTGAAGGGACTAAAGGCTCTGACCTTGCTGGATATGAAGAAAAACAAGCTGAGTAAAATCCCAGACCACCTCCCAGAGCGGCTGCAGCAGCTCTACCTGGATTTTAATAAAATACAGAGTGTGCCGGCAGGCTTTCTCACCATGAATCCCAGACTGCAGTTTGTCCGCTTGGCTCATAACAAGCTGACTGATAAAGGACTTCCATCCAATGTCTTCAATGTCAGCACGCTGGTTGAGCTTGACCTTTCTTTCAATAAACTGGAGAAGATCCCTGTTGTTAGTAGAAACCTGGAGAACCTTTATCTACAAGCCAACAAGATCAAAGGTATGGACACACTAACTGAGACATATGAAATAAAAGTAAATAAGTTATCCTAAACATAGTCCCATTGGAAGAAAAAGAGTATTCTACACCTCTACATCTCAAAGAACTGTAATGCAGTTTGTATAACATGTTAGTAATAACTACACATTCATTTTTAATGATTTTTATGATGAAACTAGTCTTAAGTTTCCTAAAAGTACATTTGAATGATTATTAAAAGTGCTGCGCTGATGTACGTAATGTATACAGTTTTCCAGACCATTACGACTCATTACAAATGTTGTACACGAGAAACTACTTAACTCATTTTTAATTGGGTTGGTTGGCAGAGCAGGATACACACTCTGTCACTCACTCAGTTCTGAGCTGAGCATTTTACAATACACTCGCTTCACAAATCATTAAAAGCTTGAATGTAGGAGGACAGTTTGAAAGCGTGATTTATAGAAAGTTTAGTGAGCCCAGAGACTCAATGTACTCTTACTGACTTACAGTGAAGTTTAGACATGCACAGGTTCACCCATATTGTTTATAGTATTCTTGTTTACACTGTAACATTTATCTGTACTATTTGGCAGTTCAACCTCCTAAAGCTTTATGTATTTTCTGTCGCCAAGCCGAAACATGATTTAACATCTTACATCACTTCTGGGCTGGGGACTGAGACTGCAACAAATCAGAACATTTCCAACCATTAGATGACAGAAACACACTTTTTAATGCTGCTTTCTCATAGAGTTTTTCCTTAAACACATTTTTTATTGCAAGCCTGCCCATAAAAAACTCCCAATAAAAAAAAAAGAATGAAAACAGAAAAAAAACAGTCATCACTGAGTTTAATCAAACAAGAGTAGCTTTAATATGGATTGTGAGAAATACAGCGTCTCAGCCCTTCTCATAAAGACATACTTAAAATCCTATGTAGGAAATACAGCACAGCGGAACTCTGTTTAGTGTGGCGGTGTTTTGATGTGAACATCCTGGTTCCTGCCCATCGGCGTCGCGAGACCCTTTTCACGGGGGCACGTGCCCCCCTGTAGATCTGAGGTGCCCCGGTATGCCTGGGTCACTGATTTTTTAATTAATTTATTAATTTATTCAGGGTTCGAAATGGCGACACGCCCGCACGCCCGGGTCTAGTAACTTTCCTATCGGACTAGTAACTCTATGCACTTGCCTGCCCGTGTGTCTGGTAACTTTATAACCCCTTTGCACGGAGCGTCTTTTACAAGCATTGTGGCCGTCAATGCGAACTCAATTTTGCTACTGTAAACCTCTCTTGCACAGCATAAGACTAGTCCTATTCAGCACACGCTGCTTTCATTTGTTTATTCTAATGTTTTTTGTCCCTTCTGACAACCCGTAGTGTTGATGCGTGTTTTGCCTTGGTAGTTCAGGATACCATGAAATAAAGCTTGCGGTCAATCTGGTAAGCAACGTAATTTTACGATGAACATAATCTTAGTTTTAGAAGTGAAGGTCACACAGGAGTAGGCTATATATTTTAATGAGTTTGCCTGGAAGCTAATCGTATAGGCTACACTGTTAAATGTTATGTGATTTGTATAAATAGCACTTTTTAATAATTTATAAAACATAATAGACTAGGCTAAATGGATGGAGATGTGAATAGCAGTGACATGCGCTGAGGTTCGTGGCTGGTGAGGCACTGACAGTTTCAGTGTCAGATTTAGAAATATATAAACCCAAGTATCTTAAATCACGAAATCTATTATTGAGGTGAAACATTTTCAAAGAAATGTGGCTTTGAACGTGAGTAGTCGATGGAGTCTAACCGTCTTTTGAAACATACCTTTTAGCTCCGGCGTTGGTTTCCCATTATTTATCACTTCACGATTTGATTGATTTGATAGTATTCTGTATTTTAGTATTTAGTATCTTGTAAATGGACATCAGAAAGTTATTCGCTCGGAGCAGGGATAAAGCACACACACAACACACACACCACACACACACACACACACACACAACAAACTCTCTCTATTTGTGAAAAAAGGTGATTGACACAGGAAATAAAAGATGGTTGTTGGAGAGAATAATAAGTTGAAAACCCCCTTCTGGTTCTGGCATTACGCAGTCGGTGAGAGTTTCTGAACTATAAAAAATATTCATGGGTTGGTTTAGGAGGAACTCCCTGAGTTGGTTTTAGAAGTTAGCTTCGGTAAATTGACAATGGGTTCCGTTCCAAAAAAGGGTCGTCATTGACATCACTTTCTCTCAATAATGTATAACTTTGGGAGACCGATTGATGGAATGGTTGTACGAATGACCTGAGTGGTTGGGATCAGATGCACATCTTAAACACCCTCCCTAAAATTCGTGTTTGCGGTCACTGGGGCCCAATTGAGTCGTTAACTTTAGTGGATCCGTCAGTACCTCACGTGGGCCGGTTTACGAGATCGGTTAATGATGTGTTTTTATTGTTTTTTTTTGTTTTTTTTCCAAGTTACCCTCTGTCCGACAACAGAGATAACGATGGATTGTCCTTATTTCCGCAAGGATTTGTAACTGTCGGAAATTGTGTTTTGTCGTTAAAATGGCCTTTTGGTATCGAAACGGAACCTGTCTTTTGTGTTGATCCAGTCTAGTTGGACTGGAATAAAAGGGGATGTCTTGAAGTCTAGTGGTTGTTCGACACCACTTGAGAGGGACTGACTTTATCCAGTGGTTTCAAGGAAAAGGGTCGTGGCCTTTATAGGGCCTGCTCGCTAGGAAACCGTCGCCCGTTGGAAATATGGAAGAACACCAGGCGGATCTATCCCCGTGTTTAGTCAACGGCTGTGAGGGTCATGGACGGTCTCCTGCTTCCGTCCTCGTGTCGGTCCGTTCTTTCACCCCCTCCCCCAGCAGTGGTGTCCCCGTTTCTAGGTCAAGGTCTGTTCCAAGAAGAACACGTAAAATAAGGATATTGTTTTTATGGTTACTTGTCCAAGGATGTAGAGAAAGGAATTCGAAAAGATACCGAAAGGAACACACCGAACTTTGTTCCTTACCTCACTAAAAACGGGAGGCTCTCGCGAGTGCCATTTCGAAAAAGGCCTCTACTGTCCCCGTATCCACCGGCTCCCTTCACTATGCCCCATCCAGTGGTTCAACCTAGACCTTGAGACAGCTAGTGAGACTACCGTGGTAAGTTTTGCCGTTCCCTCCGTCACTACCTCCTATGGGTAGACTGAGTAATTGGACAAGTAACAGTTACTATACCTAGGTATTATTACGTGTGCCTCTTTAGAAACAGAACTTGACCTTAACATGTCACGTCGGAATGTACAACGATTATAAAGTACGCAACGTTATAAACAGAAAAAAAACTTCAGGTTCGAGTGCAGAGCAATACGACAAGAGCGCAACTCAATCTCTAGTTCTTGTACTCTCCGTGGGAGTTTCTTCTAAGTGCCTATGAATGTCGCGACATATCAAAACATAAGATATATGTATATTCAACACTCTCTTGACTTCTTATGAAGGCGAGACAAAAGTTCTCGTACGTCGGGTTGGCTCCGTACAACAACACGAACATAATTAAAATACAAATAATGGAACGGATCATAGAGGTGTACGAACGTACAATAACACACAGATTGTGTTTTGATACAAAACAGTAAATATGACAAACAAACAACATCAAAAGTGACCACCTAAGCCTCCTTTTTGGGCAAATAACTCTTTCGTGAACACAGACGCGACACGAACTTCCCTTAATGTCACTTTTTGAGGCCTGACAGGTAGCTGCGCCCACACAGATTGCCGAGGATGTGTTCCGCGCACCGCAACGGCGAAGTTGCGAAACGGGTAAGTGAAACTTTACCCCACCTGCAGTGCTAAGCGGCTTGACGTAACACCCTCCGTTTCGAATCGAAGGAGCGATCACGAGCGACCACCCGAAGCTAGATCGGTTTAGGTTTGGCGCATGACACACAGACCCGCCACTCTAAGTACCTAACCAACAACCAGCTCAAAGTCGGGGGGGGCGGCCAGGCGACTTGTATGCGGGCGGCGGTACACATCTCCGCTGCATACTACCGCAGGTGTGACATCATTAAACTGCTAAGTGAGAGAGCACTCTGACGTGATATCGCCGCGCTACGCACGACCCTGAAATATCGAGCGATGGTTCAAGTCGAGTACAGAGCTGAAACCGCTGGCGTCTGGCGGTTTCTCTCAGAGATAAGCAAATAAGTGAGACTGTCAGGTTGTCCGGTCGGTAAGCTTGGCATCACATACGACCCTCTACTGATGCGTCAAGTAAAGGAGTAATAAGGTTTTTACATCATATAAAGTAATATCACCATACAGTTAGTGGCAACTACAAACTAGCTCATAGACAAGGATGTCCCATGTTCGGCCTGCCGAACGGGTGCCGTACTTACCCTCCACCTACTCGTCTCTGCTCACCCCTCTCGCCGACGGGAGCAATAGAGCAAACGCTGTCTGACAAATAAGTCAACTGAAGCACGACGACTAAACGATTACAGTCGCCGTCCCACCACGGGTAATCTAACTACAAGAAAAGTATCGCACTGAGCGTTTTGTTTGTAGTTCGAAGCCTACTGCTACTTCGCAGTTGCGTGCGGCTTACTCAACACAGTCAATTAAACTGCTTGCGATGTTGACAGATCTAGTAGACGACTCGTGCTCTATAGAAGCTTAGGGGCCCTGCCACATCATGATGCGCATCGTGTGTCTTCACCTGCTGCACGGGCAAGAAACTCGCGTTGCGAGGTTCTGTTTCCGGATCTCTAACGGTTGATGTCATTAGGGTCCACTAGTACCGTCATCTGCCGATTTTTAGACACAACGAGACAACAATGACGCTCGACGTTGAGATCATGCACGTAACACACCTTTTCAATCCGACGAAAACGAATAAACGAGTACAGTAAAATATTCGAACAACTAAAATGCCTGGATTTCAATGTTCCCTTTGACTCACAAAAATTACGAAGATTAGTAGTTTCGTCAAAACCCTTTTTATCACATCAAAAATTAACCATTTCGAAGACTCCACGAATAACAAACTCACATAGAAAACTTGAATACAAAAATCTTACCGAAGTAATTCGAGAAAAAGCCGGTGAATGTTACACTCTACGTAAAGTTGGCGATGTCTTTGTTCAATTCAGATTCTCTTTGTGAACCTTCAGTTCATTTTTAACTACATTCACAATTTCTACATGACTTTTATCTGCAATATATTCACTCCTGAAATCTGCATCACTAATGATTGCGACAATCGCATCGATCACGCGTTAGTGATAGGAGACCAGTCGGCGGCTTTCACGTCGAGGGTCCCCTTGCATTACGTCACTGGGCTCTATTATGAGTTCGTGTCTTCGATCTTCTTCAGTTTCCATCGATATTAGGTTCTTCTTGATTTATTTTGCGAGATCCGCATTCCACAGTATAGATGGACTTAACACACACAAACGGAAGCTCTTGTGTTCACTAGTACTATTCGCCGAATAGCTGAGAGTTCGTCGTTAGAGAAGAGACTCGAGAGATTACCGCACTGTATTAAAAATCTGACCAGTGGTTCCAAATAGCGTTCGTAAGGCATCTAGGTAGAACAAATACTCTCAGACGGGACGAATACATTTCTGTGGATCTTTGTCCTATGCGCAGCTTATACGCTTGACACACGCTCTCGTAGCACGAGAGCTATAGAAAAAAGTGGAGCAGGTCCGTCGGTGGAGCTTTAGTTTGATTCGGCAGGGCTTTAATTACACCTTGGCAGGGCTTAAATTTATAATCAATTAAGATGAATAGTAATCAATTTGTCGTAAGTTTCACCCTGAAGTCTGCTATTTATGTTGTAGAATATTTTAAGGATAACTACTTATTAGTAGTACAACCACTTAGCCATTGTTAGTGTAACTGTTTCGCGAGTTTATATAAATTGGTTTAGGTGTTTGCTCTTAGTTAAATAATATAACTTGAGTTTTGTTTCTGACCAGGTTCATTGTCGTATTCGGGTTGTGACAACCAAGGACTTCTTGTACAGGGTCTCATTGGAGATTAGTCCTCCCGTACAGCATTGTGTCAGGTCCTCTGATGTTTGACTGGCGGGGGGCGTGTGTCGGCCTTTCTCTACCTTGACAGAGCTAATCTATTAGAAGCTTTTATGTAGTATCGATGCGTACAACATCAGAAAAAACTATATAATTCTCTTGCTCTCACCTATTTTGGTTTTGACGCATATTACAAATATCGTTGTGATGTATACCGGATATACGCCAAAAATCCACAGAGTTCATCATTTTTCATCTATTGCAGCCTCGAATTTCGTGGTGACAGACATAGTTAGACCAGTTTACACCGCCGTCGTCAAATTATCCCGACCGTCCACCGCAGTCGACTCTGGGTGATGATATGTCGACCTGTCTTTTCTTTTTTACAAAACGTCAATCAAAGAAACTTTTTTCGTACCGTGTCTCTATCAATTACGTTCGTGCGCTCGGTTTGTAAAAAAAACGTGAATAAATAATATTATTTCACAGTATTACTTATCATGTTTAGTCTAACAAAAAAGACCGTAGTAATTTATAGATCGGATGGACTTGGTTTGTCTAACTTAACCGGGATGACCCTGATTTGACATATGTCATAGAGATTTAGTGATTAACTACTTCCGTTTTCTCCGTGTTACTTAGAAGTACTTTATAGACAGTCGTTTGTACCCTGGAACTGTGACGTTTTGACTTTCTCTTTGGGGGGTAGGATAACTACCACACTTACCACTGATAGGATACTCCACACTCTGTACCCGATACGTCTCTCTACCTCTCTCCAGATACAGTAAAAAAAATATTTCATTTGGACATTGCAGTAATGGCCAAAGTCAAACGTTTCGACAGTTTTGTTACTGTCACCGAATTGAACCTCTCTACGACGGAGAGAGTTGTCTTAAACTACCCGTTCTACCCACCTCAGACAGAACGGGTAACCGAAGAATTGGTGCACCCCCTTCGCATGAGTCGTACGACTTACATGCCAAGTGTTCACGTCGACCTGTGACCTTACCAGTCTCTAATAGACTTACCTGGACACAGTTAACACCCTTGTACTGTACACTTAAGTCGTGACTTTTCTGTAACGTACAGTCAAGTCACTAACCCTTCCGAAAGGACGAAAGACTCGGTCTATCAAAAATCGGTGGTCGTGAAGGAGAACGAAAACCTTAGGTGTAATATTACTAGACGTCTGGAGACTCCAGGAGGAGTGTCTCTTTCAACGATCTAGGACCTAATGTCCCGGACTTGTGGAAAATCTTGACACGACAACTCTCTAACTTTTGCGACGAGGTAGAGTCGTTGTTAGGACAGTTCTGTTCCATCTATGTGACGCCAAGAGTTGAAGAGCCGTAAGGGATCCAGGAGCGCGGGGTGTTGAATCTGAGCTGAATGTATGAGGAAGGTACGCAGAGACGAAGACGGAACCAGAACCATGTCGTGTACTGAGTCCCCTAAACCACACAAGCGTGTTCCGGAAACGCGCCAGTATTGGGAGTCGACGAAACAGTAGTCACGGCGTAAGAAGATCTCACCGCGTTGTGTCGCGTAAACTTGAGGAGTCGAAAACGGTCCAGGTGTCCAAAGTGAAACATCCAAAACCACCATTGAAAGACAGTGTCTGTTTTTTCAGAACTTGTAAGTAAGTTATCTATTTTGCACCTCTTGGAACGTTCCAACCGTACGTCTGGGGTGTCGGCATCCCAACGACTATAACCTGTCCGTGCACTCTTGACCGACCCTTTAAGAGATAGTATCGCAAACTATCTGGAGTCGACCTTCCTGGTAGCGCCAGAGAACCTGTCGACATGTCGAGTCTTCGAACATTCGGGTTCGACAAAGACTCAGAGGAATGTAACAGTACCAAGTGTTCCCTCGGTCTTTTCTTACATAATCTGTAAGACGGCCTCCAGTTTATTAGAAGGACCGGAGACCATACCGGTTCTGTACACCTTGTCTCGTGAATTAAGTTAAACTACACGTATCGTCCGTGTTTTACCGGTACCCTACCAAGAGAGCCTTGAAACGAACCTGGGGAGGTTGTCGGGTGAGTACTGACTCCGCGGTAGTATTCGGACACGTTGGTGGAACGTGTACCAGATACGGTAAGTTGGAATCGACAACAAGTTACCGTCAACATTACCTGAGGCGCCAGGTTTTGGGAAGTTTAGAATGGTATCGATTCCATTACAAGAACGTGTGAGGGGGGTCGTGTATAGCCTGTGTGTGTCGATCGACAGTCACGACGAACGGTAGAGAACGAAGCAGTCGGTAGTGACTTTTGTAAGGTCCGGAGGAATTACAGAAATGACTATCGAAAACAATAGAGGACCCGTGTCGTGACTTAATGAAG